TGCAGAGCAGCTGTAAATACAGATGAAGCTTTGCTCACTTGCCCGCCACTCACTTCATGCTATGCAGCCCAGTTCCTAACAGGCCATGGACTGGTACCAGTCCAAGGTCTGGGGGTTGGGGAGCCCTGGTTTAGTGGGAGGGTTGGGATGGGATCCAAAGTAGAAGTGGAGGGGTTTGTTTTAGACAAGAAAGGTGCAGGAGGCAATATGGGCACATATATGAGTGGGTTAGAAAGTTTGGGATGAGAAGAGGCACTTATGATCACTTTATCAGGATTTTCTTGATTAAAAAAAGCAGAGTCATCTGCTGAGATGGGAGGAAGGTGACAGAACTTGGAGAAGAAAGGACATGAATTGGTTTGACTCAGAGAAAAATAATTCACAAGTATGTAATCAAGATTGAGACACTGATGAGAACCAAATCGCATGTGTGCTCATACATTTAAAGTGAGTCCAGCCAGGGCAGTTGTGAGTTTCCTTGATCTTGGGTGACAGGATGATCTGTTCTCTTCCATTGTCCTATTGATTCGAATGCCTGTACTACATTTAGCTTTATATTTTAATATTTTGTAGGACTAGTTTTACTTTATTTTTGTGGAAACTTTTTATTTCTTTTGGCAATTTGGTTTTGCATTTTAGCTTTCAGTGTTGATTATGTTTGTTCTGTTTTGGAGGAGTCTGATTAGATTAGGTTGGTACGGAAGTAATTGTGGTTTTTGCCCTTTTTTTAATGGCAAAAACCACAATTACTTTTGCACCAACCTAAATAAGTTCAGATTAAATTTGCCTAGGGTAACATAAAACAAAAGAAGATTTTATTATTTCTTTTAATTACAAATCATTTTTAATAATTCATTTAACAAATATTGATTGAATGCCTATAAGGCCTTGCATGAGACCTTAGAGATACAACGGGGAAAGAGATAAACATTATAGGCCCTGCTTCCACAGAGCTTTCAGAATAGGGTAGAGGTCAGCAACCTATGCCTTTTAGGCAAATCCAGCCCACTTGTTTTTGTACAGCCTATGAACCACAAAAAATCTTTTTTAATTAAACATTTATTTTAACATTATTATAGATTCACATGAGGTTGTAAGAAAGAATACAGAGAGATCTTCTATACCCTCTCCCTCATTTCCGCCCAGAGGTAACTTTATGTAAAACTATAAAATAACATAGTATAACCAGGATGTTGACATTGAAACTATCAAAAGACAGAACATTTCTATCAGCACAAGGATCCTTCATGTTGCCCTTTCACAGGCCAGATACTTCCCTCCCACCCAGAAACCTTCCTACCCCCGGAAACATTTAATGTTTTCAGTTTCTATAGTTGTTACTTCATAAATGTGACATAAAGTAAAAATCATGTAGTATATAATGTTTTGGAGTTAGCATTTTTTTCACTCTCAGAGTAATTCTCTGGTGATTCATTGAGTTTGTTGCGTTTATTTCAGTAGTTCGTTACTTTTTATTGTTGAGTAAATCCTTGGTATGGATGTGCCACAGTGTGTTTAATCATTCACCTGTTGAAGGATATCAAGGTTATTTCAAGGTTTTGGCTATTATGAATAAAGATCTTATAGACATTCTTATGAACATTTTTTCCCCTCTGGCATGGATGCTAAGAATCATATTTGCTGAGTCTTATGGTAGTTGCATGCTGAATTTTAAAAGAAACTGCCAGACTGGTTGTACCAGAGACTATCAATCCAGTTTCTCTACATCCTTGCCAGCATTTGTGCTGTCACTACATTTTATTTTAGCTGTTCAAGTGGGTGTGTACTGATATCTCATTTTGGCTTCAACTCACATAATGGTTAATGATACTGAACATTTTTTCATCTGTTTATTTACTATCTGTTTATCTTCTTTGATAAAATGCCTGTTCATGTCTTTTGATCATTTTCTAATTGAGTTGTTTCTGGGTTTTTTTAATGTTGGGTTTTGAGAATTTATTCTATATTCTGTTCTAGGAAATAGTCCTTTCTGGGTGAATGCAGTGGCTCACACCTGTAGTCCCAACACTTTGGGAAGCCAACACAGGCAGATTGCTTGAGCCCAAGAGTTCAAGACCAGCCTGGCAAGACCCCATCTCTACAGAAAATACAAGGATTTGATGGGTGTGGTGGTATATACATGTGGTCTCAGCTACTCAGGAGGCTGAGGTGGGAGGATCACTTGAGCCAAGGGAGGTCAAAGCTACAGTGAGCTGTGATCATACCTCTACAGTCCAGCCTGGGTGACAGAGCAAGACCCTGTCTCAAAAAAAAAAAAAAAATCTGATGTTGAATATATGGCTTGCAAGTATTTTCTCCCAGTCTGTAACTTATCTATTTACCCTCTTAACAGGGCCTTTCACAGAACAAAAGATTTTTTTTTATTTTGATGAAGCCCAATTTATCATATTTACTTTTTGGATTGTGCTTTCTTTTTGTATTAAGACTAAGTACGCTGGCTAGCTCCAGATCCCAAAGATTTTTTTCTAAAATGTTTATATGTTTACATTTTACTTTTAAGTCCATGATCCATTTTAGTTAATTTTTGTATATAACGTGAGACTCATAGGGTGTGGTGATATCACGTATATGGTTTGTACTCCTTCGAGGGGATGGGGTGCAGATTTGCATGGGTCTACTTCCCTGTCAGCGCTTGCTTTAGCTGTGTCCCATAAACTGTGATATGTTGGTTTTAAAATTTTTATTACATTCAATCTGTTCTTTTATTTCTCTTAAAACTTCATCTTTGACCCATGAGTTATTTACTGTTGTGTTGTTTAGTTTCCAAGTGTTTGGTAATATATCTGTTATCCATTGTGGATTTCTAGTTGGATTCCATTGTGGTCAGAGAAGGCACTCTGTGTGATTTCATTTCTTTTAAATTTGTTGAGGTTTGTTTTATGTCCCAGAATATGGTCTACCTTGGTATGTATGGGCACTTGAAAAGAGCGTGTATTCTACTGTTGTTGGGTGGAATGTTTTATCATTGTGAAGTAAATCCTGTTGTTTGACAGTGTTGAGTTCTTCTGTAACCTTGCTGACTTTCAGTGTTGTTCTATTAATTTTGAGAAAAGGATATCTTTGCTCTGAAGTCTGTTTGCGCTGTAGTCTATCTTATCTGATATTAACATAGCTACTCCTTCTTTTTTAAAATTAATGTTTGCATGATGTTTCCTTCATAATTGAAGTATCTTTTAGACAGCATGTAGTTTGGTCATGTTTTTTATTCTCTTCTACCAATCTCTGTTTTTAGTTGGTGTGTTTAGATTATTCACATTGAATGTAGTTATTGATATGTTAGAGCTTCAGTCTGCCATTTTGTTTTTTCTGTTTTCTGTTACTTGAACATTTTATGGAATTATTTTTATTTATCTGTGGCATTTTTAGTGTATTTGTATGGCTTTTTAAGTTGTTGCTTTAGGTATTACATGTATATAGCTAATCCCAGTCTACTGGCTGGGAAGGATAGAGGTTCTCTTTGCCTCCCATGTGACCTCCACTAATAACATGGTCAGGGAAGGAATGGCCTTTCTGCCTCTGAATGGAGGTGGAATTCATGGCTCTCCACTAGGCCTCCTTTGACATGACCCCATTGAAGATGGGGAGGGACCCCATTACTGCTTCATGGATGTGGAAGTCCAGGCTTCCCACAAGATGATGGAAGTCCAGGCTTCCCACTGACATCCACCAGGTATGAACAAAAGTACCAGCTACCCTCTTCAGCCTTCCCTGACACCATGACAGTGGAGGGGATCACACAGGTTGAGGGTTAGAGTGCCCCATTATAGCCTGGTGAGGATGGAAGTCTGGGCTCCCCACTCAGCCTATGCTAGAATAGGTCAGGGTAGAGCCACATTTTTTTCTGTGGTGTTTGGCTGAAATAGATCAGTTAATACCTAAATAGTTTCTATCTTTTAGGGCTGCCCCCTTCTTTGTCTGTCCCTTGCTAGAGAGAATAGGCTCTTGTTGTGGTATTATTGTTTTGGGGTGTGTGTGTGTGTGTGGTTTTTTTTTTTTTTCGGTCTGTGCCCAGTGGCATTTCCAGGTTGCTGATGTCTTCTTACAAGTCTATAAATGTGAGTCAAAAGAAAATTCAGAGAATTCTTTGGGTCCCAAGATCACTGACCAATCTGCCTTCTTGCCACCAGCTGGAGTCTTTTTGTGTTTGATTTATAGTGTTCAATATTTTTAATTGTATAGTCAGCCCTCTGTATCCTCAGGTTCCACGTCATGGATTCAGCCAGCTAGGGATTGAACATATTTTTTAATTGCATCTGTACTGAACATGTACAGACTTTCTGTCCTTGGGGTTATTCCCTAAACAATACAGTGTAACAAAAGGAATTCTAGAGATTATCTAAAGAAGCAGTCCCCAACCTTTTTGGCACCAGGAAACGATTTCATGGAAAACGGCTTTTCCACACACTGCTATGTATGGGAGGATAAGAGATGGTTTGGGGATGAAACTGTTCCACCTCAGATCATCAGGCAGACATTCATTAGAGTCTCATAAGGAGTGCACAACCTAGATCCCTCGCAGGCGCAGTTCACAGGGTTTGTGCTCCTCTGAGAATCTAATGCTATTGCTGATCTGGTGGGAGGCAGAGCTCAGGCAGTAATGCTCTCTGGTCTACTGCTCACCTTCTGCTTTGCAGCTGGTTCCTAACAGGCCACAGAATGGTACCAGTGCACTGCCCAAGGATTGGGGACCCCGATCTAAAGTATACAGGAGGATGTGCATAGCTTACATGCAAATACACCATTTTATATCAGGGACTTGAGCATTCGAGGATTTGGGTATTCATGGAAGGTCCTGAAACAAGTCCACTGCAGATACCAATGGACAATTATATGTAGCAGGAGGAATAGGGGAAAGGACACCTGCTCCTGCTCCTGAGAGAGGAGGTTTTCATCTATCCATTTAAAACCATTCAGAGGAATCTCGTGCTTTTCCTCACCTGTGTTCTCTCTGCCTATAACATCTTTTTCTCCTTTTGCAGCATCAGCCACTATGTAATTGTCATGTCCATGACCATCTTTTTGGTGTTCCTCAATGGCCTGGCCCAGCTGCTCACAACAAAGAAACTCAGACTATGTGGCAAACCCAAAAGTCACTTGATGTGATGTTGCTGAAACACCATTCAGCACCTGGATCCTGATTCTCCTTTTAAACTAAAATCTCATCAAGGATTCAATCAGAAGATGAGTACTAATGTATAATATATTCTACTCCTGTAAGAACAATTGTATTTGGAATTCTGAATTGACAGGTTTCTGGAACAAAGGAGCTTCTTTTCTTTTTTCTAGGTTTTGCAGGCATGAAATAATGATTCTATCTGTAGAAAAATGTAGGAAGGCATTCTCCATTTTCATTTTTTTCCTTTGGCTGGCAGCTTTTCCTAGTGATGTTTAGAGCACCTGCAACAATCTGGTCCCCAACCACACAACTTCCCACATACCCAAAGGAGAACATATGCCTGTGGGGGCAGTGCTGATGGCATCCAGAATCATTGCCATGGCTGAACTGGAAGGAAATTACCAGGTGGCACCATAAATATTTATCAGCTTTCAGCACTGGCTTTGTTAGACAATCAGGGTGTATTATTTCAAATTTGCTAAAGCTTCAGTAGAAAAACATGTTTGCAGGTATTTGTCATGGTCCTTTAGTATGCAGTAATACTATCTTATCCTTTTTAGTGCTATTTCTAGGATTTTCCTAGTCTACCAGCTAGATGCACGTCTAACCTTCACCTTTTTTTCACTTCAGGATTTTCATGGAATTCTGAATGATACAAAAGTAGAGAGTGCTTAGTATTCGTGTCTTACACATAGGAAAAATATTAAAACAAATAGTTTTTAATTGTAGGTTCAACATGTTACCCCTGTGGCTTTTTCATATATTGTTTTTTTCCTTTGAATTTCTTTCTACTGTCATCTATTATTTTAACAGGATTCTAAAAATCAATGGTTAAACTTTCTGACAATATCATAGGAATTCATATTAAAGTTGTTATTCTTTGTGGTTGTGAGATTCTAGCCCAAAGGTCTAAAATCTCTTCAGCAAATTAGATTTCCATTTGTAAACAACTTCTAATGGGCAAAATTTTTTCAGAGTAGTTTTTATTTGGATTGTTCATAAAATTACCCTTATGTATCCCTGTGGAGTTGGCCTTTTGTCTGTGATGTGCCAGTAGCTTTTGGCTGATGCTAAGCTTTCCTGGTATGTGCCCTATTTTTAAAAAGTAATTGCTTTTGAATTAAGTTATAGCATTACTAATTCACGTTAATGACTAGGAAACCCTCTATAGTTTATTAGATTTTTCAAATTGGCAGGGAGTGAATAAATACAATTTAAAAGAGTCAGATATCAGTTTGGCAAAGAGTACTTTCTTAATTTCAATTTATGATGAAGTATAGTTACAATTTATTTGTAATACTATATGGTATAGCAGTGAAAGAATTATAGTATAAAGAAGAGGTATTAATGTCTTATGAAATCTCATGCATCAGTTCATAGTATTTATCTAGCTGAACAACTAAGAAGCTGTGGTAGCAAACACTGACATTGATGGAACAAGAATCATGAACTTTCATATTACCAGAAAGGATTTTTTTTTATTAGTTTTTTTTCACACATCAGAGAAAACTGACTGTATAAATACTTACCATTTACCTCTTTATGTAGTTTTGCTTTTCATCCTTTCCCCAATTTTTATATAATCAATATTTTATTACAACATTGTAAAATGTGCTCAGTCTTTTATCTTTATTTTGCTCTTTGAAGCATGTCTTTTTCTTAGTTTTGTCCTTTCAGATTCGTGAGTCTGTAGAATAGGTTGAACTTCCCTCTGACAGTATCATAGAGTTTGTGTTGCGTGCCTGCAGCACGGGCTTGCCTTGCTGCGCTGTAACTGGCCCCTTCAGACTCACGTGGGAACAGGCCTTTTCTGTTGCAGTTTCTCAGGTATCTTTAAATGTTTTGAAATGCATATTTTTTATTGAAAAACAGAAAAAAGAAACAAGAGTTAGGGAAAAAGTATTTCTATTTAAGGTATTTATTTTTTCATTCTACCTATGCCATAGATTTCCCAGTCAAGACTTAGCACAGTTGATGATTACTAGTGTTTAAATTAAGAATTGTTATAAGAATTAAAATGGGCAGAACAAATTGTGAAAATATTGAACCAAAAAAAGGCCATGCTGTAATCTTAGAGGGCCCATGAATAAATCTTAGAGGGAACCCTAAGACTTCGGGAAACTACTGCAGCTTGTGTGTCATTTCCCAATATGTTAACTATTATATTTAGTGTACACTATTTAGAATACAAAAGACATTTTTATTTTTTAGGGAAGTGTTATAAATGATAACATATTTTCATTGTAATGTGTTCAAAATTATTTATTAATTATGGAGCTGAATTAGAAAAGCTCTTCATTCATTAAAATACTGTTTCTCATGAAAAATAGTTACAAATTTCAGCCAACTCAGATATTAAGAACATCAATGTCAACCCTCTTCCCCTCCTGCCACCTTTATACACTTGTTTTGGTAGACTAGGGGCTCCTTTTCTCCTCCTTTTTGATATATAACTGTGCCAGTAAAAACATGATTTCTGATGCAGCTGGCCTAGAGGGAATGAAGGAGACACGTAGGTGTGGTCTCTAGGACAGGCGTAGCTGCTGCAGAGCTCCCCTGTGGTTGGGAGACCCTAGGGAGCTCCCATATTCACACTAGATGCCATCTTGGGACTGATGAGAATGGAGCTAAATCAACTCTCATTTGGAGAAGACCCCCTTCAACCAGTTCTGAGAACTCTTTTCTTTAAGAGACCAGAGGTAACTTGGTCATTTCTCACCTTTTCATAGTTCTTTTTATGTTGACATTCCCCTTACTGTATTTAAAATGCTTCAAAGCATTAATGATTGTTATGCTGTGTGCTTTCAGTAAGATGGTAATATCTTTTTAGCATTTTCCCATTTCTGTATCAGCATGGTTTTTTGTTTTTGTTTTGAGACAGGGTCTTACCTCTTGCTCAGGCTAGAATGCAGTGGCATGATCTCGGCTCACTGCAACCTCTGTCTCCTGGGCTCAAGCGATCCTCCCACCTCAGCCTCCTGAGTAGCTGGAACTACAGGCACACGCCCCCATACCTAGCTAATTTTTTTAAATTTTTTTGATGGATACAGGGTTTTACTATGTTGTCCAAGTTGTAGCATTTTTTTAAAAAAGACTGGGATTTCTTTATAATGCTTTGTTATTTTTAAAAAATGAAAAGGAAACATTAATTATCAAAATGTTCTTTAATTGGCCTCAAAGGGATAAATCTAGAATTATTATTACCCTTGGGTAAACTCATGAAAAGTACTTAATATTCATTCTATAAAGAAATTAAAAGAGCCTTTGAGATGTGTCTCTTACTCATTTCCTTGGGTACACTAAAACGGATTACAGTTATTATTCAACTTTCTACCTTTAGAATTGCAGCATTTATTTGCCACACAGTGGCATTTTTCAGACTTTGTCCCCTAGAACATTGATTCCTGGTAATATAAATAAATGTCATAATAAAAAGAGTTGTTTGTTTGTCTGTTTGTTTGTTGAAACAGTCTTGCTTTGTTGTCCAGACTGGAGAGCAATGGCCCTATCTCAGCTCACTGCAGCCTCCACCTCCCGGGTTCAAGCGATTCTCCTGCCTCAGCCTCCTGAGTAGCTGGAGTACAGGCGCCCACCACCATGTATGGCTAATTTTTAAATTTTTAGTTGTGACAGGGTTTCACCATGTTCATCAGGATGGTCTTGAACTCCTGACCTCAAGCAATCCACCCACCTCTGCCTCCCAAAGTGCTGGGATTATAGGCCTGAGCTACCACGCCCAATCAAAAAGAGTTTCTTAATTAAACATATTTGAGAAACATCTAGTCAAACCACCTTAAATAGATTCATTTACTTTAGTTTTAAGGGAGTTTAACTTGTGATGTGTGTTGTGAAGGCAGGAAGATAGCATTATGCCAAAAGTTTTCACTTCCTTGACAGCAGACCCGATCTTAGTTTCTTTCCTGATTGGTAAACATAAGAAATGTTTCCAGGCTGGGCTTGGTGGCTCAATCCTTTAATTCCAGCACTTTGGGAGGCCAAAGTGGGTGGATTACTTGAGGTCAAGAGTTCGAGACCAGCCTGGCCAAGATGGCAAAATCCCAAAGCTACTAAAAAGAAAAAAAAAAAAAAGCCTGGCAGTGTAGCAGACTCCTGTAATCCCAGCTACTCAGAAGCCTGAGTCAAGAGAATTGCTTGAACCTGGGAGACTAAGGTTGCAGTGAGCCAAGATCGTGCCACTGCACTCCAGCCTGGGCAACAAAGCAAGACTCTGCCTCAAAAAGAAATGTCTCCATATACTTTTACACTAAAACCTCAATTTGTCATAGTTTTGAAAATAGAGTATTGTATGCTTGATTGAATTTTTTTTCCTGAGAACTAGAATACCATTTTTACTGTAACCCTCAATGTGGGAAAACTTTACAATTTCCTGCAACTTTTCCTGCCTCTGTATAAGTTATACCTGCCATCATTTAGTCTTTTATATGGGAAAGGCCACTGCTACCAGACTGCATCCAGTTAATCACAGCTCATCGTGCAGCCCTGTTGGAGTTTAGACTAAGCCTTTATACCTTATGTTTTATATATTTTACTTGAAAAATAAATTTGTAGGAAATTTTAACTTGTTTTCTTATGATTTGATGTTGTAGAAGGTGATTAGAGTTACATTTTTTTAATAATTGTTATTTTAAAACATTGTAAAAAGAAAACATCAATTATCAAGATTTCCTTTAATTGGCCTCAAAGGGCTAAACTCTAAAATTGTTGTTACTCTTGGGTGAATTCATGAAAAGATAAATTCTTTTTACACAAGAATTTAATTAGCTTGACTGGTATAAAATACCAATTGCATCAAACATCAATGATTCCATTAATTTTTTAAAGTTGTTTTGCTTTAAGTAGATAATATTCAGTGAATTTGAGTAATATGATTAACGAAAGGACCAACAAAGGTAATTGTCAATCTTACAGACACAAACTTTTACCTAGAATGTCTCAATATTAGGAGAACATCTAGGAATAGTTGGTCAACATTTTAAAAGCTCCTCCCCTTGCTAGTGAGAAGTAATATTCTTAAAGTTAGAAACCATACAATTAAATTCCCGTTTACCTGATACACGTTTGCTTGTCATGTCCTATCGATATCTCATGTTATTGTGATTGCTTTTATTTTATTAAAAAAACTAATTGTAGCACAGCCAGGTGATCCAGGTGAACATCAACAGTGAAAAGTTAGGTTGACAGTGTGTGCCCTGGATACATGATGAGAGTGGCACTTTACCTATATGGACTTCCTCCCCAACACTCCTAAACCCAGTCTAATCATGAGAAAAACAGACAAATCTCAATATAGGAAGGAACATTTGGCAGAGTACCTGGTGAGTACTCTTCAAAACTGCCAAGGTCATCAAAAACAAGGAAAGGCTGAGGAACCGTCAGAGCCTGGAGAAGCCTATGGAGATGATGCGGCACCCTGGATGGGGCCCTGACACAGAAAAGGACCTCAGGTACAAACTAAGGAAATCTGATAAAGTATGGACTGTAGTTAATAAAACATCAATATTGGTTCATTCATTCTGAAAAGTGTGCCTTAGTAATTAGTAATTAGTCATCATTAGGTGTTAATAATAAGAAATTGGGTGAGGGAGTGTGTGGGAACCTTATGTACAAATTTTGCAGAGTTTCTATAAAACTATTGTAAAATAACAAGATTATTTAAAATTGTATTTATAATGTTATGTTTTTAAAATTTTTACTATATACACGTAATTTTACATAAATGCATTGGAAGTATAATAGCAGAGAAGCAGAGGATTAAAGGGGGTGGTTCAGTGGTTTTTTTCTGTTTTTGTTATTTCTCCCGAGTTTTCTCTCTGCTCTTGTACCTCTGTTACTCCCCTCTGTGTCATGTTAGAGCCCAATATGTATAGCACTTTTCTTCCTGGATTACTTTTCATCAATTATTGAGGCAATTATTATGTTTTTGGGGTTTTTGAGACAGGGTCTCACTCTGTCGCACAGGCTGGAGTGCAGTGGCACAATCATGGCTCACTGCTGCCTTGGCCTCCCAGGTTCAAGCAACCCTCTTACCTAAGCTTCCTGAAAAGCTGAAACCACAGGCTAATTTTTAAATATTTTATAGAGATAGGGTCTCACCGTGGTGTCCAAGATGGCCTTGAATTCCTGGGCTCAAGCAATCTGCCCCTTGGCTTCCCAAAGTATTGGGATTAGAGGTGCGAGCCACTGCGCCTGGCTAATTATTATGTTCAGCATAAATCTCATGTGAGTGTATAGTGCTCAGCAGGGCCTTTGCTCAGCATTTCCTCTTCTTGAAGTAACTTGAGGTGACAGAAACATTGCTAACCTTCTGCTTCTGGCAGGAGCTAAAATTTTTTATGACCCTTCTCACCATGTTTGACTAGTTTAGGGGTGCACATCTGACCCAAGCCAGACCAATCTGAGTTTGCAAGATTTTCAAGCTGGAACTGAAAGTTTCTAAGATTCAAAGTTTCAGAGCTGTTGTTCGCCAAGTTTAATTAAGTGAGATATTCTAGTAACCTTCCAATAAGTAATCTGTTTAAAAACGGATGCGTGATTGAATTCACTGATAGCTCTAAGAACACTGAGGATTATGAGAAGTCCAAACTCCACT